GATCAAGAAGAAGTGATGGCTGTTGTAACTCCTGGGACCATGGCCCTGCCTGGATTGGCTTCTAGGTGTGAGAGAGAGAGAAACAGAGAGACAGAAGAAGAAGGAGGAGGAGGAGGAAGAGGAGGAGGACGTAAGAGGTTGGAGTGAGAAGGGCAAGTCTGATGAGGGAGTAGGAGGAAGAAGGAATAGGTCTGTGGGCAAACAGAGATGAGAGCATGCATCTTAGAAAGATTCAACAAACACCCAGGCAGAGACTGACATACATGCACGGGACTGAAGAAGGGAAGGGACCTTGGAGGCATGCATGGCCATGAAGAGGGATAGTGAAGGAGATGCCAGGCACCCTGAAAGCCACACATGCAGCTGGGGTCAGGTACAAGGGCACAGCAGGGCATGGGAGGGATACCATGGAGGAATTTGGGGGTCCAGAATTACAGGCAGAGGGGGATGTGACATAGAGAACAAGATCAAGGAGTAAGGCAGGTGGGGAGTTCAACCAGCACCTCCTTCCCCTCCCTGTGAACAGACCTAGAGAGGAACAATTTTTCCCCCAAATGGAAGATTAATTCTAAATTATTTACTTCTTTTTCTTTGGCATTGAGTCAGTGCAGGCCTCTTTGTTCCTCCTCATTCACTGGTTCTAAGATGTCTCTTCTAGGCGTCTAGGAGCACAAACAGGGGCGCCCAACTCTGCTCTTGGCTATAGGGGGAAGAGAGGGGGCTTTCAGTATATTCTAGGTGGGTATGAAGGGAATACTTCTAACCCCAGTCTGGGTGTGCAGGTGCAGTGGTGACCCTGGGGAAGGTCTCTACACCCAAAACCATTTTTGAGGGAAAGAGAAGCAAGAAAAGCTTTTTTTTTTTTTTTTTTTTTTTTTTTGTTAGGAATGCCACAGGGACTAATACAAAAGCCATGACACTTTGAAACCACGTCGATGCTCTGGATGAAGGCCAGGTGCAGACTGCATCTCTGTGGGCATCAACTGTGGTAACCCTCTCAGTCCCTGAGCAGAAACAACACCATTTTCCTTCCCTCTCTCCCTCCTTCTTCCCTTCCTTCCTTAAGGATATGCCTTTCCCTTTCATTCAAACTTTTATCACACCAATTCCTCCAAAGGGGCAGAGGTGGGAGAGTAGACAGTTCACCTCTCAGAGGCATAGTGGAGGGTCACCCTCTGAGCTCCCACAGTTCCAAACTAATAGGGAGAAAATGTATAGAGTAGAGTCGGGGGTGGGGAGAGAATCACAATCCCTCTGTTCTACAAGCTCTTTGAGCACAGAAACTATTTCCACTCTATCGCCAAGGCTTAGCACAGAGCTTGGCACACAGTAAGTACTTACTAAAGGTTTGCTGATTGATTAAGCTACCATTAAAGAGGGGAGGGAGGAGAGATCAACTCTTTCCCCCTATTCTATGACCAGAGATTTCAGGGTTAAAGTTTCCACCTTAACAGCTATCACCCCAAGAGTCAGCTTTGAGTTAAAGAAGAGGCATCCCCAGCCCCCCTTCCTCCAATAAAAGACCTCTCATAATTCAAGGGGAGAGGATTGTCCTTTTTTATCCAATTCTCCTCTTTCTCCTTTGTTGTAGTCCTAAGCACTGCTAATTTCCATCTACCCTTTAGATGTCTGGGCAGGCTGGGAGGAGGGCCCAGCTTCCCAGCCCAAAGATGGGATGGGCCCTCTCTATCTCTTCCTCCTTCATCCTCTTGGCCTTTTACTTTAGTTTCCTACTATATCACATGAAAGCTGAGAAATCGAAGGAAACAAATAGAAAGAAAAAGTGACAAAAAACTCAAGATAGACTCCAGTCAGGGAGATTGCCATGATTCCAGGTCCCCAGGCTGCAAAAGGGAAAAACTGGATGCTCAGAGGGAAGAAACAGCAACTACAACAATAACTCTAACAATCCCTTCTCTACAAATTAAAATACCATCTCCCAAAAGAAATAGGGAGGTTGGGATATGGTGGTCTTCTTTTTTCTCCCTCTTCTTTTTTTTTTTTAAAGGTCTGTAATGTTTCTCTGAGGCGTTTAGAATTTTTTCCAACAACAAAAATAGAGGGAAAAATCCTGTACCGGCAAAATATATCAATAACAACACTAATAACATTTCTTTAAAAAATAAAGTTTCAACAGAACCATGACAACAGCATCTTTGCTGCTCGTTCATTTTTTCTTTCTAGTTGTGCAAAAAAAAAAAATCAAAGCCTATTCACTCACACTCATTCGCACCTACACGCACAGTTTCCATTCAGCAAACGTGTGTTAAATATGTCTGTCTCCCTCAATTTCCTCCCTGATCCCTTCACACGTGCAAACGAATTTCAGTGGCCGTGGTTCTTCCTGGACCAGCCCCGTTTGCCTTGTCCAGCCTGCCTGGTCCTGTAGATTGTTGACAGGAAAAGAGACCAGCTAGAAAGTAATTTCTAAGTCTCTCCACCTAGCATCTCATTCACCAAAACATTTGGTTTTTCTTTTTCCTTTTTTCTCTCTCTTAAAATGAATCTTTTTCACATTCTCCTGCTTCTGTTTGTCATATACTCAATATGTGGTTTCTTCTCCTGTCAAATCCTCTGCTGTCCCTAGGATGTCGCCATCATCTCCCCTCCCTCCCCTCCCCACCCCCAAACATCAAAATCTGAAGCTTGGCAGGCAACTAGACTGACTTCTTTTAGGGGAGATGATGTCTCCCCCATCGCCTGTCTCATCTCCTCTCCATTCTAACCACCAGTACTCTCATTTTGCAAATGTTGAAATGTCCTTAAGGTGCAGGATGAGTTGATTACGAGGTGAACCCTCACAAAAGTCTCAAATACATACAAAAAAGTCTCTTCAAACTCTGAGTCCTGCTCCAGCCACACATGCATGCATGTGCATGTTCACATACATACACTCTCCCGGACACTCTCCCCTTACCCCCCAACCCATCCCCAAAAAAAGGGCCGCTCCAAAGCCCTGCTGGGAAATGCTATAGCTATCATCTTCCCTCCCTACTACACTTTATTAAAGATGGGGGTCAGAGAAAGGTATTCGATGCTAAGGAGTGTAGGATGGAAGTGGTGCCCCCATCCCTTGCCAGCAACAACCCCGGAGGGTGCTTCTCCTCTGCTCCCTCATCTCCTCCAGTGAGGCACCACTTGGGGCTGGAGCTGCATGGAGGGATTACTGTCTTGGGTGGAGAACTGGACTGCATGATTTCTGAGGTCTCTCTTGATTCTGACCCTAATGCTCTATCATGCAGTGTGTAATCCCTGTGTGTGTATGTGTGTGCTGCCTGCCCAGGATTGACCTTTGGGTTAAACCAAGGTTGGATGGATAGACAGATGGCAATTAGGGAGACTCCTTCAGCTTTGTCCTTAGGCCAAGGTCCACTATTCATCCTTGTTAAGGTAAGCTGAAGGCTTGAGACCAGTCAAGGTTTTGCTTTGGCCATCTTAAGGCTGTTCAGGAACACAGATAGCAGGTGATGTCCACGAGGGTACTGAGGGAGGGAATTACAGAGAAGGCAGCTTGGATGCTGATAGAATTGTGAGGGGGCAGATTGTGTTAGCTGAATATTGGCCCCAGGAGCTTCTGGGAGAAACAGGGAGTGAAGAAGGCTGTGAATAATTCCTTTCTTAGAATTGGAGGGAAGCATAGTATTGGTGGGAGCTAGGGGGACAGCTTGGAGCAGACATCTCCCAGACACAATCCATGTTTCAAAGTGACCCCTGATGAGTGATCATAACAGGGAAGAGAAAGACAGTTACTGGATCAGCAATTGCTTTCTGTTTGTCAAGTGTGAGGCCCTGGGCAGAGATGAGCCAATGAATTAGACCTGGGGAGGTGGTTGTGATTAATTTGAAAGGGAAGGTAGATGAAAAATAAGAAATCTTGTTCTAAGACAGGACAAGTCCTCTGCCTTCCCATCCCACCCCTTCTCTTCCCCAATACACTGCCTTTTTGTGCTATTGGGAGTCAGACCACAGCTTTTCACAGAACCCTTTTTCACAGAACTTAAACCTGGAAGCGACTATTAGAGACCATCTAATACATTTCCTTCATTTTACAGATGAGGAGACTGAAGGTCACATAGGTAGTAAATAACAAAGATACGATTTGAACCCAGGGCTCTCTCCATTGTATCGTTTTCATTCTGATTGACTTTCTCCAGGGAGAAACGAACCAAGAGAGGGGCTTGGTCTATAAAGGGATTAGAGGGAGGGCAGCCTGGGGAATTCCAGCAATGAAGAAGCAGAAGGGGGTAGGTGAGTTCTCTGGGGGTCTTTTCCTGTAAGACCGGGACCTTGGCTTTACTCCGGGAGGTGTGGCTTTCCTTCTCAAGGCCGCTGAGTGATGGGACCATTGGCTAGAGCTAGAGATGGAGGTCAGGTGGAAGGAGAAAGCTGCGTCCCTGTCTTCCCAGCCAACATAATACTGAGTTCCTCTGTCCATTCCCTAGGCCATGGGTCCATCCAAAGAAGGAACTATGGGGAAACAAAAGGTAGTGAAAGCAGCACAGAGATGATCCCTGTCCATGGTATTCATCTCCATCTGGAGATATCATCATCCATTGGTTGTTGAGGGTGGGCCGCAGCTGGGAAGGAGAGCTCAACTCCCGTGTCCTCCTGTTCACCCCTACACCATGGTCTTCCTGTCCTGCCAGGATGGCTGGGGACTGGGTGGCTTGGTCCCACCAAGGGTGTTGGCAGAGCAAAAAAAGGAGGAGAGAGGAGGGAGAGACGGAGAGTGAAATGGAGAGGGAAGAGGAGAGTGAGGGAGAGTGAGAAAGAGCGAGAGGAGAGGGAGGGAGAGGGTGGGAGAGGGAGGGAGAGGGGGAGAGGGAGAGAGGGGGAGAGAGGGAGAGAGAGAGAGAGAGAG